CTCCGCCTGACGTACTTTGGACATGTTGTAAGGAGAGACAGGTCTTTAGAGAGGGACATCATGCTGGGTAGAGTAAAGGGACAGCTCAGGAGGGGAAGACCCTCTATGAGGTGGATTGATTCAGTGACTGGGGTAATCGGGATGGGTGTGTCAGAGACAATGAGATTGGCACAGGATGGAGCAGGGTTTAGGGCTGTTGTACATAGGGTCGCTATGAGTCGCAAACGACTCGAGGGCACATAACAACAACAACAACAACAACATTCCATTCCTGCAGAAGGAGAGAAAAAGGCCAGAGGGCATTTCCCTAGATCAAGGCACAGGAACTCAGTCACAAGAACACAGCGACAAAGGTCCAAGGGTCAGACCCATGAAGACAGTAATGGCTGCAAACAAGTGCAAAGCTCTTGGAAATGGATCATGGAAAGCTGCAGCTGACATAAAGTCCCCTGAATGAGATCGGGTAGGCAGAGTCAGGTAGGCTGGAGCAGTCAGAGAGAATTTTCTGAAGGAGGAAGTTGTCTGGAGGCCAAGAGGCAGTTAGGAGAAGGGGTGTCCAGAGGCTCCTGGAGGCCTCACCTGGGTCCCGGCCGCTACGCTCTCTGCTGCCGCCTCAGCCCGCGAAGGTCGGGCACAGCTCGCCAGTACTGTAAACCCGGAGGGGTCGCCTGGCACTGCCTCCAGAAGGGCCACCTTCACAGACGTGGTGCCCAGGTCAACGCCAAGAGTGATCGACTGTGCATCCACATCCATAGTGTTGGGATTGCAGGCAGCAGCTAGCCTGGACCCGCAGCCCAATAGCAGCGAGAAGGCGGGGCCTCTGTTGACAATCCTTACGTAGCCACACTCAGCATGTCGGCCTCCTGCCATTGGTGGAGAAAGAGGCGATGTTGCCCGCGTGACGGTAGGCTGGACCTAAACGAAGGCTTGGTGACAGTAACGGGTTGTCAATGCCTCGTCAACCACAGTTGCTCAAAGTTCACTGAAAGGCGCTCCCAGAGCAGTTCTATCGCGAAAGTTAGCTTCATCTTCTCTCACACCCCAGTTCCCATCCCTGGCAGGCGCCTCCCTTCCACTTCGCTCCAACTCTGCCCTACCTTGTCAGGCGTAAACTACAACTCCCGTGATGCACCACTCTGGAATCTGTACTTCTTGGATCAGATGACTCGGGTCAGGTGATCCCCGGCCCGCCCTCACACTAAGTCAAATTGACTGAGGAACTGTGCACATTCTACTGCTGCAGCTGGTTGGTGATCCTGTCGTTCCTCTGGTCTGTCGGCCGAGCCTAGCAGGCTGTCAGGTGAGAACCAGCGCGACCCGGACAGCCTTCCACCCATTTCCCGGGAGGACCCCCTGGAGGACGAGAGCCTGGCATAGCAAGTCAGGGGGACCATCTATTGCAATCCCAGTCCCCTCAGTAACTTCTGGGGCTACATCCTGTAGGGGCAGGAGGAAATGGATCCAGTCTTCGCATTGTGCCATTGGACACAGCTCCCTGGTAGAAGGGCCCGGGTAGCTGTGAGTGGAGGCAGGGAACACTGGAATGAATGCCTGGGTGATGTGAGCGCATCTAACCCTGTGCAGTTCTGAACTCTCCCTACCTCTTGCTTGGTTGTTTTCCTCTTACTCTTCCGATTCTGGGTGGAGAGTTTATTGGCTGCTTTGTAGAGAGGAGACACTTGAGAGCTCAGCTAGGGGACTGAGTGCTGTGTTGGGCTCCTGAGGATTTGCATGTTAAGACCCTTCCCCACCCTACAGGATCTTCAGGCTGGGTCTTGCCTTTTTACAGTAATGTTGTTGTTGTTGTTGTTATGTGCTGTCGAGTCGCTTGCGACGCATAGCAACCCTATGTACAATGGCCCTGAAACCTGCTCTATCCTGTGCCAACCTTATTGTCTCTGACACACCTACCCTCATTACCCCAGTCACTGAATCAATCCGTCTCATTGAGGGTCATCTTCCTCTTTTGCACTGTCCCTCTCAAAGGACTGGTCCTACCTTGTAACATGCCAAAAGTGTGTCAGACGAAGCCTGAGAATCCTTGCCTCCAAGGAGCAGCCTGGTTTCACCCTCACTAGTAGGAACCCATTTGTTCTTCTGGCAGTCCATGGTGTATTCAGTACTCTTCTCCAGCACCATGGTTCAAAGGTTCTATCATCTCTAGTCATTGTCTGGCTTTCTGACACATAGCAAGTAAGTTAGAAGACTATGGCCTGAATCAGGCACATCTTAGTCTCCAAATTGACATTGTTACTCTTCAGTACTCTGGAAATGTCCCTGACAGCAGATTTTTCCCAGTGCAATTCATCTTTTTATTTCCTGGCTGCTGGGACCAAGAGTGTTGATTGTGGAGCCAAACTAACGCTGTTAACAATCTCAATCTCTTCACCATCTATCATAATGCTGCCAATAGGCCCAGTGGTGAGAATCTTTGTTTTCTTTATGATGAATGAGCTTTAACCCATATTTAAGGCTACAGTCCTTGACCTTCCATAGCAAGTGCTTCATGTCCTCTTCAGTTTCAGCAGAGCAGGGTTGTGTCATCTGCATAACACAGGTTGTAGATGAGTCTTCCTCTAATCTTGATGCAACACTCCTCCTCATAGAGCCCAGCCTCCCAGATGATCTGTTCTACATACATGTAGATTGAATAAGTATGGAGACAGGATGCATCCCTGGTGTACCCTCTTCCCTATTTTGAACCATGCAGTGTTTCCTTGCTGTGTTCTGACAACAGCCTCCAGGTTCAAGTGTAGGTTTCGCATAAGCACTATCAAATGTTCTGGGATTCCCATTCTTCTCAGAGTTAGCTACAGTTTGTTGTGATCCACATAGTCAAATGCCTTTGCATAGTCAATGAAACACAGACATTCCTCCGGTACTCTCTGCTTTCAGCCAAGATCTATCTCACATTAGCTTTAATATCCCTGCGACTACGACCTCTTCTAAACCCAGCCTGCACATCTGGCAGATCTTTGTTGATGTGCTGTTCCAGTCATTTTTGGGTAATTTTCAGCAGAATCTTGCTTCCATGTGATATTAATGATATTGTTCAATAATTTCTGCATTCTGTCAGGTCACCTTTCTTTGGAATGGGAACAAAAGGTATGCCATCAATTCCTGGGACCTTGTTTCTGGCCAATACTTTCAGAGCAGCCTGAACTTCTTCCTTCAGTGGTTGTCCTCCAGATTTCTTAACACAACTTGGTGAACGTGTCCAGGGCAGTGTCTCTTTGTTGAAATATGTAAATTGGTATGCCATCATTTCCTGGGGCCTCGTTTCTGGCCAGTACTTTCAGAGAAACTTAAACTTCTTCATCGCCACAGGCTCTTGCTCATACGCAGACTCTTGCTCATACATTGTTTTGTGAAATTCTTCTGTGTCAGCCAATTCCTTTTGGTACAGTGACTCTGTAAGTGCACTAGGCAACACTGGTGTTCTCTTTAACATCAGTGGTTTGCAACCTTTTTTCGTTATTAGCCCCTTACCCTGAAACCTTTTTAGACATTTCTCTCCTAATCATTCCATCCCACTATGAAATTCTGTTACCACTCATACATTGTTTCCTTGTGTTCTGTGACCCTTTGGAGGGCTACAAGCCATTATGATATATGTGGTGTTTTGTTGGTTTGTTGTGTTTGGGGTTTTTTTTTTCACTCTCCAAGAACAGTTATTAGCTCTAATTGGGAAGGTATGAATTGACGCCTTTGAGCTGTGGTGCTAGAGAAGAGTACTGAATGTACCATGGACTGCCAAGAAAACAAATAGATTCATCCTAGAGAGGGTTAAA